TGAGTGTTGATAGTTGATCCAAGAAGAATGAAGTCCTTGACAACTTCAATCTTTTCTCCATTGATAAGAATGTTGTTTATTGTGCCAGTGGTGAGGGTTTTTGTTTCCTTTACGTTGAGATGTAATCCATACCGAAGGCTGTGCTCTTTGATCTTCATCAGTAATGTTTTAAGTCCTCTTCACTTTCAGCAAGCAAGATTGTACCACCTGCATATCACAGGTTGTTAATGAGTCTTCCTCCAATCCTGATGCCATGTTTTTCTTTATTTAACCCAACTTCTCAGATTATTTGCTCAGCATACAGGTTGAATAAGTATGGTGAAAGAATACACCCCTGTCACACACCTTTCTTAATTTTAAACCCTTCAGTGTTCCCATGTTCTGTTCGAACAACTGCCTCTTGGTCCATGTACAGATTCCTCATGAACACAATTAAGTATTCCGGAATACTCATACTTTGCAATGTTGTCCATAGCTTGTCATGATCCACACAATTGAAAGCCTTTGTATAGTCAATAAAGCACTGGTAAATATCTTTCTGATATTCTCTGCTTTCAGCCAAGATCCAACAAAAGGACAAATATTGTATGAAATCACTATTGTAAAACTCAAGAAAAGGTATTCATGATAAAAAGAAACATTATTTGATGGTCACTAGGGATCAGGCAGTGTTTAATTCTGTTGTGCATAAAGTCACTATGGGTTGGTACTGACTCGATGGCACCTAACAACAACAGTGGTTGGATGAAGATCATAGAGCACAGCCTTCAGTATGGATTACATTTCAATATAAATAAAACAAAATCCTCACCACTGGGCCAATAAACAACATTCTTATCAACAGAGAAAAGATTGAAGTCGTCAAGGATTTCATTCTTCTTGGATCAACTATCAACATTTAGAGAAGCAGTCAAGAAATAAAATGACGTATTGCATTGGGCAAATCTGATGCACAAGACCTTTTTAAAGTGTTGAAAAGCAAAGATGTCAGCTTGAAGACTAAGGTGCGCCTGGCCTATGGTATTTTCAATACCTATGGTATTTTCAATAGCGTCATATGCGTGTGAAAGCTGGACAGTGAATAAGAAGACCATAGAAGAATTGATGCATTTGAATTATGGTATTGGATGAGAATATGGAAAGTGTCATGGGCTGCCTAAAGAACCAACAGATCTGTGTTGGAAGAAGTGCAGCCAGAGTGATCCTTGGAGGCCAAGATGGCCAAAATTCATCACTCATACTTTGGGCATATTGTCAGGAGGGACCAGTTGCTGGAGAAGGATATCATGTTTGGTATAATGGAGGGTCAGAGAAAAAGAGGAAGACCCCCAACGAGATGGATTGGCCAAGTAGCAGCATCGATGGACTCACGTGTGGCAACAGTAGTGAGGTTGGCCCAGGGTCATGCAGTGTTTCATTCTGCTGTGTATAGGGTCACTATGAGTCAGTACTGACTCGATGCCACCTAACAACAACAAAAACAAGGGGTCGGAGGCAAGAAAGGGTAATTCACAAGCTAGAGGCTTGTTGTTGTTGTTAAGTGCTATTGAATAGGTTCCGACTCATAGTGACCTTGCATAAGGTTTCTGAGGAGGAACTGGTGGGTTTGAAATGCTGACCTTGATGGCAGACAAGTGTTAACTCAAGTTACAGGGAGGGCAATATACAGTAAGAAAGAGGTTGGCAGAATAATGAAGAAGACAGGGAGGAATACAAGAGTTAAAGGGAAATAGAGGTAAATATTGCTTTATATACAATCCTAGAACAACAGTGTCCTATGAAGAGATACAAGGACAAACACATTGGCTAAACAAATATGGGAGGGAACATAGAATACCCACAAATATATAAGGATTTGACAGAGTATCTATACATGAGTATTTATGTTTATTGCCCACACATCTATAAATGTACAATGTTGTTGTTGTTAAGTGCCATTTTGTTGGTTCCAACTCATAGTGATCCAGTATATGGTTTCCAAGGAGTCATTGGTGAGCTTGAACCCTTGCTGTTCAAACCCACCTTGTAGTCCAGTGCATGAACCCACAGCGTCATGCCAGGACTTCTAAATGTGCATACATGGGTCAAAAATCTGAAAATGTCTTAGATATTACCAAACACCTCGAGGCAACAAGTTGTTGGTCTTGAGGGCTCAGGGCCATAGTCTCAGGGAACACTATGGTCAACTAGCACAATGTACT